AACTGATAGAGACGGATGAGTTTCTCCTTCCCTCTCATTTTAATCTTATTTTGAAGTTTGCCGTACCCACGTGCAGCACCAGGCAGCTTTCTGTTGCCTCGTGACATAAAGATGTTAAGGATGCTGTTCAACATCTATGTTCCCGTCGGTACTACAACATAACTATTTATTTATTTATTCCTATATGGAAAACTACAGTACGAATACAAATTGAAGCAAATTACAGTTTTCCTTTTAAAAGACTTAATAATAAGTACGAGCAACAAATACAATGTGTTTATGTGCGTGCGTGTGTATGTATGTGTGTGTGCGAACTAAGTAAACATTATTTATTTCATTTATAAAGGTACACCAAAAACATGTCCAAGGTACAAGAAATGGTTTGAAGTACACATAACTAAATCAATAAATGAACACATCAATGACAGGCGTACACATCATTCACGAATACTAGGTACATACGTGCTGTACAAGACACTATTTTTAAAGGTCCTTTTTTAAGCATTGCCGTTACTTTAGGATAATATTATCCGGTGTTGTAATGACGCTTTACAAACATAAATTTCACGCAGACAAACACCTAGATGCGAAAAACTACCTGTGGGTCACAAAAATAGTTGTTCCGTGTGGGAATCGAACCCACAACCCCTGAGGCCGAACTGCGTCACGAAGTCATCAACCTAATTTACATTAAAAAAACCGGTCAAGTGCGAGTGGTACCGTTATAACGCCATTATAAAATTGGTAAATAATCACCATCAATTTTCTCAGGAAAGGGTGGACCTAGTAAGTTGAAATTTATACCAAATACTGAGGTTTATAGTCCCTATTATTGAGTGTATAAAAATCAAGGTCCAGTCAACATGATAAAAAGATGTGGGCAGATTCACATTTTCACGAAAAATTGTAAGTACTTACCAAAGTGTACCTTAATTTTCCCTTTATTTGTGCTGTAAGACCTTTTTTATCGTGTGGACTCCGGACCTTGATTTTTATATACCTAATAGGGACTAAAAAACTCAGTATCTGGTATAAATTTCAACTTCCTAGGTCCACCCATTCCTGAGAAAATCGGTGGTGACCCACGGACGGAGAGACAGACAAGAGAGTGGTCTTATAAGGGTTCCTATTTTTACCTTTGAATGTACGGAACCCTAATTAGTATGAAAACATTTATTGTAAAGGTTCTGACTTTAAACGGTATATTCAATCCTCCTTTTTGTGTTCCGACTTTAGACAGTAAAATTCTAATCCTCCTGCAAGCCTTGGCTTAAGTCTGAATCGTTTTAGACTGTACAATTGGTTTGAAACGATTAAGACTTAAGCCATCTGCTACACTACTAAGTACTATTTTCCATAAAGTAAGCCACTTATAAATTAAAAAAATCAAGAACTCTCGAGTTAGACATTAGTGTTTAGTAAATTTGCTAGCTTTTAGTGTACGGATTGTCGTAGAAAACCGGGCACAGAATAAATATGATAATAAAAAATATATAATAAACAGAAACAACGAACGACCTCAAATCGTAAGTCTGACTAAGTCATAACGCTTTCGCTTACATTTAATCAATTTCACTTGTGACATAGAATTGTATCTGTATTAAAATCAAACAACTGGTGTCATCTAGTGATATAATATAGAATAGGCTAAATGTGAAACTTTAAATGTGTTAGCTTTGAAACTTAAGTTTTATTTTTTTGTAAAGTTGAGATTTGCGACATTGTTACGCAGATGACGCAGGATAGTCCTAACAGCATCGAATATTTTTCGACCATTTATCTATTAAACATACTAAAAGTAAAAACGGTGTATACAGTCTTCAAATGAGCGTTCTACGGTGGAGAATGTAGAGAACAAAAGGAGTAGGCTAGCTCAGTACCGAATCGTCCTGTAGTGGAAAAGGGAGGGAGGAATTAGTTCCACCTAATCGCTGACACATTCCAAAATCTCCCAATAGAGTCGCCCGTTGTAGCAAAAATACCGGAGCGCCACACAGCGCAGTTCGCGAGCGCGCCGCGAATCAAGTTTCGACACCGCCCGTGCCGCCTCGGATGATTCCATTAAGCCGCATCCAATTCCATTCAAGTATGAAAGCGTATTCATGGAAAGCAAATCTTTTGTAATGCGCACCGGGGTCGCGGCGCCCCGCGTCCCTCTCGCAGACGTGACTAATTGAGTTGCCCCGGCCGCCCGCCTCCGGCCCGGCCCGCTATAAGTTTGACAAATTATCTGAGCCGTTAAACCCGTTCATTTGTCTTTGACGCGTCACTCATATTCGAGGCCTGACTATTAATAGTGCTGGGCCTCGCTTCATCCGTAATCCCGGCACCTCGATTCTTGAAAAACCATTCATTTTTTTTTAAATCAACTGAATTTTTTTTATACCTCCACCGCCGAGCACGGGATGGTTCGAACTCGGGTTGCTCGAGTATATTGAATTAAAAGGGAACGTCCAGACACTGACCTATCAGGCACTACAGGGGGGTATTGCTTTAAACCATTAGACGTTCATCGATTGAACGTTCATAAAATATAACCTCGCTTTAGTGTTTGTGATATCGTCAGTTGGATGATAACGGCTTGTATCTGAACTGAGATATAAACCGTTATCATCCAACTGGAAGATCATCAGATAGGGAGAGGTGACCTCTTCCTAACCGATTTGGCGTACCGTTTGCCCGACCATTTTATGTGAATTGAGTCAACACGGGACCTTGGGGGATTTCGCTAGTTTTCATACAAATGCTAACCTGTTTCGCACGTAGCACTTACGACCTAAATGAGTTCCAATCTAGACTCGTATTGTCGAGTTTAAGACTCGTAAAGCACGGCTTTACGTCTTCCACGTTACAAAGGACCAACGTTTATAATGAGCGTTCAAACGGGACATTGCATTTTATTCCTCCATTATCGTTTAACGTTGAACAATCCTTTAAAACTTTATCGTTGTTGTTGCTTTTGCGTGGTAAGGGTGTAATAAGTGTGTTTGTGTTTCCGTGATATTTTTCTTAATAATTGATTCCATTCAACAAATCATTCCATTTTATTCGATGTCTATAAAAGAATGGGTAGACTTAGTAAAACAGATCATGTACCACCAAAAGCGGCGGTCAATTGAATGAACTGAATGACTAGGATTCAGTAAAAAGGATTACATTTCGCAAATGATAAACTGGCTTAGTGACTTCTATTCGTACATAAGTAAACATAATTTGTGTCATCACAATCGTTAATATACGAGTGTTTCGTATCCATTGACTTCATATTTGTTAAACATAACATAAACGAAAAATATTTATTAGTTTGTGCAAGATAAAATCGATATTGTTTCACAGTACGAGCAACTTAAACACCATATTACTTAGTCTAGTAAATAGACAATTTTCAATATTGTTATTTCCATTATAAACAGCTTCTTTTTAATGCAGCCAATAATTGTATGTATATTCAAATGGGCACACTTTGTCTATAATCCAAACGCAGAAAGGAGGCAAACTGCATAATAAGCGATATTCCAGGCCACAGTAAAAGCCCATTGTGGTAATACCCCTGAGGTTAACTACTCCAGCGGAAATATGGAGTATATCGTAGGCTAAGCACTTCTAACGGCAACGGCTATTGACACAGTTAATTAACGTTTAGCCATATGACTCCATTATCGAGATATCAATTATTTACATATCATTTATTGCGTTGCCTTTACGAAGAGTAATTTGGAAGTGTAATCGAAATAACTCGTGTTTATCTAATCATCGTTGCGTAAGGAAAGATGAGGTTGGCTCTTTTGATGATAGTATATCGAACTGTGAACTGTAATCATAACGATGCCTCATTAATAACAAAAATTATAACGTCTTATAACGTTTTTTTTTTGCTTTATTTTGCTACAAATTGTCCAATGCTAGACGTGAGTAGTGATCTTTTTTTAGATGACAAAGCCATAGATGAATATACTGTTATAAACTGGAAACTCAACATTTTTGTCAATAATACGTAAAGCGACATCTAGACGCCAAACAAGGAACTAAATTTTATGTGCTATACGTATTTAGCTATATTTATCGATATATTTTAATATTTTATAGATAGCTACGTGCAACGTACTTTCAATTTCATTTATTTATTTTGTCGACTGGTATTCAAAATATTATTTTAAACGAAATAAAACGGATAATGGATAAAGCACTAATTCAAAAGACCCTCTCAAATTGTACTAGAAGTTGACTTTGAAATAAGACGCTGGCGAAACACTATACTCTTTTTCTGTACGCTTTATGAATTACTTACACATCTAGAAATAAATACGACCCGTCCCAGCTGCTTAGTATGTCGCCATTCGATATGAGGTCATGTGGCTGCTACGTACTGTAATTATATAAGCGTATATGCTCTTGAGAAAATCTCCTGTTTCTGCGCAATCGGACCCTCTCCAATCTTGTTGCTCAACTGTAAATCGGATTTGAGAACGCCGTAAGCAGTTTGTGCTATTATAAAAGCTTTGTCGTATTTCAAAACTCTGTCACGTTTTTATAGTGAAAAAGGGCGTTCGATAGAGAAGTTGTTTACGGTGAGGCATGCATTGGTACAAAAATACGCTGTGGGTTTATACTAATAATTAGATACTAATAATTCTCATACAGCTGGCTCCGACATTTGGCTAAACTTCTATGCACATAAGAATAGATTTAAGCTATAAGACGTAGTGTCTTATACATACAGCCTTAACCATACAGTGAAAGTTGTTAAAACGACCCGATAGACGTAGTGGCCACCACTTGCCTCTAACGCCAGGGTGTGCGTTCGATCCCCACTACTGGAAAAATATTGTGTGATGAACATAGTGTTTTTCCAGTGTCAGACTGTTTTATATTTATAATATGATACACATTTCAAAGTCGGGTAATTTTACACCACTCTCCCTGAATGTTGTTAATGTTTCCGTATTTTCTTAGATAGTCCTTATTAATAATAACTAATCGCGACCATCACTCTCCATCAGGCGAGGTGGAGCGGCTGCTGCGAGAATACAGACAGAACCAGGAGTTGGTCCGAAACATCGGCGCGCACTACTACCAGATCATATACCCCGTTCAGCTGCGCCACCACGAGAAAATGGGCATTTCCACGAGAGAAGTCAACACAATGAAGGTACGGTCGTATATTTATTCTAGCGAACCCAACGGACGTCGTCCTGTACACGCGGCTTAAATCCGACAACAACTTATAAATAAAAAAAAAACAATTATGAATCTAAATCTTTCTCGAATCGACCTGAAGACCTGAAGGCAAAAACTATCAATTTTTTTTAATTTGAAAGTTGCCAAACGAGCAAACGGTTCACCTGACGGTAAGTGAATAACGCCGCCCATGGACATCTGCTACACCCGAGGGTTACAGATGCGTTCACAACCTTTTGAAAATTGTGCTCCGGCTACCTCACTCACCAGACGAAACGCGAAAGTATTTGTCATACTTCCACTTTACTCTGGTCTTCTTTGAGGTCGTGATACTTACCCGGACGGGCCTGCCCATTCGTGCAACAGCCGAGGCCCTACCACCGTTAAATTTCAATAAAATCGGTCCAGCCTTTCAGGAGTCCAGTGACATACACAAGTATGGAATAATTATATATATATGAAGATACATTCCTGTTTAATCTAGTTTTTGCCCTACACCCCTATACCACAAGATTTATGTAATTTTCGCGCGCTACGTGAAACTACACCAGTAAAACAGGAGCTCCTTGTTTTCTTAAATTTTCTCTTTGCTAGTGCTTTTCGTTTATCGTTTACCAGAGATACGTCATGTCTTCATACTAGTAGTACAAAAAATCCAACACAAGATCACCCTATCTATGGGATTACATCAATATTTCATAAAATAATTAGCAAAATCAGTCCAGAGGCTTGAATATACGTGTACTATAAATAAACACGTCGATTGTTGTATGTCATTGTCTCATTGTATTATTTTTAAGAAGCTAAACTTTTGTCTTAAAATAATTTGTGTGAAAATAACAAATGTTTCGAGTTATTTATTGTAATTGCCGTAACGGGGCACTAATCTCAATAAAAATGATTATTTGTAATATTACATGATCTTACAAACAAAAATTGAAAATATCAGAAACTAGCTGCTGGCCTAACATTCAGACAGAAAGACAGATATATATAAAATATGTATATAAATTACAGCCTATGTCTTACTCTGATGTATAAGCTAAATTATTGTAAAGTTTCATTAAAATCCATTCAGTAGTATTTGCGTGAAAGAGTAACAAACATCCATCCATACATACAAAATTTCGCGCTTATAATATTAGTAGGGATTAGTAAGGCTTATTATAACAGCTACACGAAGTGTAGAATATACATTTAACTATTGCCTTTGTTCATATATTTGGTAAAAGAAAAGAAAAACACACAAGGACTAACGAACATAATAAAATACACGGCAAATGCAGAAGAGAAATGGAGAAGGCGCAAGATGTTTAATCTTATCGATTCATCATTGTTTTTGTTTATTTCCCAACGCCTAGGAGCGTAAGAGGAAGTGATGAAATTGAAGAAAACAGAGGCCTGTTTCTAACGGCTGGAGTATAAATCCGTGTGATCCAATTCGCTGTTTTAGTCATTAGTTCGTTATATCACATCTGATAAACTCTCTATGAAATCTTCCTGGATACTAAATACAAAATGCGTGCATAATTTTTATTAGTTTTTGGTTTTTGCACATAAGTTATATCTAAGAAAATTATGTCAACAAATAATATATTCTAGTCCGTTAATTTTACAGCGATATTAAATGTTCTGACAATTATGTTAACTTACTAATCAGTTCATGTGTTTTTTTTTTAATAAATTTATTACTTTCTATTAATACGACAATATTTTAAGTTGAGCTACATATATTTTACTTTAGATTTCTAATCATTTCAATAAATTAAAATCACCACCAAAAATTGAAAGTTCTAAGTATAAGGAATAATTGTGTAAAGTGTCATTATTGTAAAGGTTGTTTTTTGAAAATACCAAATTAAACAATAATTTGTTCTTGCGAAGTAATTTTCCATCGTCCCTAACGGTATTTTCCATAACAGTTTATGGAAAATACCCTACAAATAAAAAAAATATGATCGCAAATTACTCATGATATATTAGGAATTATCCAAAATTTTATAAAACTTGTCCAATTTGTCCTCACAGTCACAAAATATTCAATCCAAGATAATGTCGTTTAAGTTTCATTAAAATCTATTAAGTAGTTTTTGCGTGAAAGAGTAACAAACATCCATCCATACGTACAAACTTTCGCGTTTATAATATTAGTAGGGATGTGTTATTCTGGAGTGTTACATTATTGTAAAGTTTCATTAAAATCTATTCACTAGTTTTTGCGTGAAAGAGTAACAAACATCCATCCATACGTACAAACTTTCGTGTTTATAATATTAGTAGGGATGTGTTATTCTGGAGTGTTACATTATTGTAAAGTTTCATTAAAATCTATTCACTAGTTTTTGCGTGAAAGAGTAACAAACATCCATCCATACGTACAAACTTTCGCGTTTATAATATTAGTAAGGATGTGTTATTCTGGTGTGTTACATTATTGTAAAGTTTCATTAAATGCTATTCACTAGTTTTTGCGTGAAAGAGTAACAAACATCCATCCATACGTACAAACTTTCGCGTTTATAATATTAGTAAGGATGTGTTATTCTGGAGTGTTACATTATTGTAAAGTTTCATTAAAATCTATTCACTAGTTTTTGCGTGAAAGAGTAACAAACATCCATCCATACGTACAAACTTTCGTGTTTATAATATTAGTAAGGATGTGTTATTCTGGTGTGTTACATTATTGTAAAGTTTCATTAAAATATATTCACTAGTTTTTGCGTGAAAGAGTAACAAACATCCATCCATACGTACAAACTTTCGTGTTTATAATATTAGTAAGGATGTGTTATTCTGGTGTGTTACATTATTGTAAATTTTCATTAAAATCTATTCACTAGTTTTTGCGTGAAAGAGTAACAAACATCCATCCATACGTACAAACTTTCGGGTTTATAATATTAGCAAGGATGTGTTATTCTGGTGTGTTACATTATTGTAAAGTGTCAAAAAAATATATTAACTAGTTTTTGCGTGAAAGAGTAACAAACATCCATCCATACGTACAAACTTTCGGGTTTATAATATAAGTAAGGATGTTTATTCTGGTGTGTTACATTATTGTAAAGTTTCATTAAAATGGTAGTTTTTGCGTGAAAGAGTAACAAACATCCATCCATACGTACAAACTTTCGTGTTTATAATATTAGTAAGGATGTGTTATTCTGGTGTGTTACATTATTGTAAATTTTCATTAAAATCTATTCACTAGTTTTTGCGTGAAAGAGTTACAAACATCCATCCATACGTACAAACTTTCGTGTTTATAATATTAGTAAGGATGTGTTATTCTGGTGTGTTACATTATTGTAAATTTTCATTAAAATCTATTCACTAGTTTTTGCATGAAAGAGTAACAAACATCCATCCATACGTACAAACTTTCGGGTTTATAACATTAGTAAGGATAGTAGGCATAGTAAGGATTGTCTGATTAAGGGTCGTAATACCATCAGTGGATCACTTATAAAATATTAATTATCGATAATTGCCTACCGTATCATTCTCAGTCTAATTAATTATATATTATACTGACAGAAAAGAAGCGACAATAAGACAAATTACCTAAATTTGTTTGAATTACATCTGGATATAATTTGTTTGGTATTTGCTTATTAATATCTACTGTGCTGGAAATGTCATCGATTGTCATTTTCCATATTTGTTTAAATACCTGCACACAAATAGTTATCATCAGAATTTGTGCCTATTTCGCTGAAAGTTCTGTAGCTTAAATAGTAGATAACAAATGAAGGGCATCTTTTGATTCGTTTTAGTTTTGAGACTGATGAAGACGTTGTAATTAATACAGATGTTCATTTAGTATATTATTTGCCTCAGGTTGCATATCACATGTACCCGTTGCATGTATTATTTACTACAGTAGAGTTGACTCCGAGCTTATCGCATTGATCTAATCAAATTTTCTAATCACTTTGGCGACCTGATTCGCGTTAATGGACCGGTCTGCTGCGCATTCAAAGTCAAAGACAAAATTTCTTTATTCAATATAGGTTTATCTTAAGGTCTTATTTTACGTCAAAAAAACTATCAGCATTGTGGGGTCGATACTCACTACTGTTTCTTGTTTCTTATTGTAACTTTCATATTTATTTAAAATTTTACTATTCTAGCAACTTTTGCTGCACCTGCCATAAACTCTCACCACATCGTGGGTTGACTGGTAGAGAATTCCACTCAAAATTCCACCCTACGCCTGTCTCTGTCACATCGGCCGGCGACACGGGAACATGTAGACGCAATCTTCGGCGACCTCCGCGCGACTATGGCCACCATAGGCCGCCTCTTCTTGGATGCTAAGACGTTCAGTTCGGCTTAATAGTGCTGTGCCGGTGCAACTAGCAACAGGGGGAGTAACACCACCCTGGACCTGCCCATTCGTGCAACAGCGAAGACTATTGCGTGGCCCTACCGAAGTGTCGAGACCACAAGGACTTATATTTCTTAAATACCACCGTCAGAAGCACACCGGTCGGCGTAACACAATGGATTCAATTATCAATCCCGTTCTGTGCTCGAATTTTAACAAAGTATAATCAGGCCTCCCGCTTCAAGTTTTGATTGCTTCCAAATTCTTGTTGTTCGCAAGAAGGGCGCGGCGCCGGCGGGAGGGGGCGTGTAAACAACCTTTTGATCTACTACAAACACATGAAACACACTAATAATAAATCTTTGTTATTATGTTTGCATGTTTGCGAGTTGTTACAAAGATCGACATCGCTGAGAGCTTTAATAAAGCTCGTAGTATATTGGAATACTTTAACATTAGCGTATTGTTAAGGTTTATTTGAAGTGGATAACACCGGAATTAATTTTCACTGGAAATGCCTGGGGTCTCGTGATGCGGTTATCTGCTTGCGGTGATACAGCTGATACATATGATAAGAAGGAATTAGGACCCATGATGTGTATGTCCGTTCGTGTGAAGCAATTCATATTAAATTAAGC